GAGGACGGGACTTACGACAGGAGGGTTCGCTGCAGCATCGTTGATGCATCCTGGGAGTACTCTTGTCTTCTTCGTCCTCCTCCCCCCTCCCTCGCTCGCTCGTTCGCTCCCTCCCTCCCTCCTCTTCCAACTCCCTCCTGCCCCGGACGCGCGCTCCCACGCGCGCTCGCTCACGTGGACGACTCCAGCCCGGACGTACCCAACCCGTTGCGACACTCCGGAGGCTCCGGGGAGGACGCAGCCCCAGCATCATCCACACGTCCTGCATGAAGACCCCCCCAGGACCCCAGACAAGAGGCCTCCTACATGGGTCCGATCATATTTGGGGCGCGAATTTTGCACACGTACAACCCCCACTAACAAGCTGGTCCGGCAGAAGGCCGCGCAGCGGGTGTTGCACACAAGAATGGCATCCCATGGGGAGAAGATGTTTGTACATCACTCCCGTAAGCAAGCTGGTCGGGCACTAGGTACGCGGGTAGTGGAGGTGGCCATACATCGGCCCCCCAATATGCGGGATCGGAAGATCTCGCCGCATCGGCGATGCATCGGCAACGTCGACGATGCATCGGCGCTATTGACGCGGAGTAAATCGGGCCCTACATCGAGCCGCATCGCCGATGCATCGGCGATGCAGCGCGATCCTCTGAGCTCATCTGCTCGGACCCCAACGGGAAGGCGTAGACAGACGGACTTGAATATGGGCGCGCCCCCGCCGCAGCGCCGCAGAACGGCTGTGCTGCCCAGCACGCGGTCGAGGTGCAACCCCAGCCCTGCTCGGGCCCCAATCCCAACAACCCTCGCGATGAAACGCTCTCGAATGCCTGGCACCCTCGGCCCACTCGCCGTGCCTCGGGCCTCGGCCCGCACACCGCCTCATCCACCCCCAGGGAAGCAGATCCGCCTCCAACGTGGAAGAGAGGCCCTCTTCGACTCCAAGGGCGGCCCTGTGGCGCCGCTTTCCAAGGCGAAGACTAGAGTCTACAGTGCGGACGCAGACCCATAGACATAACCAACTAGTCGGTTATCGGGATTGCCTCAAACCTCGACAGGAACTGAGACGCCAAGGTCCTGGTGCTACTTTCTAGCCCTCCAGGAAGGCCAAGGTTAGGACAACCCCCGCCGAGACGCCACCCGCACCAGAGGTGCAGGGTCCCTGTGCCCGCCCCGCCCCGTCTCGCGTCGCCGCCGCCGCCGCCCGACGCCACCCGCGCCGCGACGGGCTTTCCCTGCGCGGCCTCGGCGCGGCCTCGGCGCGCGCGGCGCGGCCTCGGGGCGCGCCCGCGGCCCGAGAGGCGCGCTACAGGAAGGCGGCCGGCAGGCCGCCGCAGCTGGGCGGCGCGGGGCGGCGGGGGGCGGCGGGCGCCGACGGGCGCCGGCGCCTCGAGGCGAGGCGGGGCGGGGCGCCGACTCAAGTGCGTCCGGGAGGACAGCCCTATGAGAGCACGTCAGTCGGGCTGGAGCCTGGGAGGCACATTGGATCCCTGTGTAAGTCATGAGCGTGGCACCTCGCGAAGGAGGGAGGGCGGCGACGACGACGACGACGACGACGAGCAAGAGCCAGGACAATTCTCGAGGGGAGGCGGGAGTCCAAGAGTCCAAGCATGCTCGCGTCATGAAAAATGACGACATGTTTTCGCCGTTTTCGGTCTGGGGGGGCTCTCGCTGGGCCCCAGGCCCGTCAGACAACGACCCGGGAGGAAGAACCTGCCCTGCGGCAAGAATCGGCACTTCCAGGGACGCCGTATTGGGACAATCAAGACACCGCAAGCCTGGGTGGGGGGTCCTTCTGAGAGTAGGCGGGCAGCAACATCTGTCGTCGTGGTTGTAGTCATCGTCGAAGGAGGGACCACGCCCAACTACAGGAAGGAAGGATCGAGAGGAAAGAGGAGGAGGAGGAGGAGGAGGAGGATCGATGATGAGGAGGAAGTTCGACCAGGAGTTGCTAAAGGAAAGGGATTACATTGTTTTACAATATTTGCCCTTTTGGGAGCCTCTGAGAACTTCTGGGGACCCGAGGGGATCACTGGAGACTTCCTGGAGACCAGACCTCCGAGATCTCTTGTTGTCAAATTTCCGATGTGTGTACCCAATTTCGGCCTCTGGGGGCAATTTTCGACCACCCAGAGCGGAAAACCAGTCCCAGAGAAGGGGTCGGGAGGTCTGGGGACCACGACTTGAGAAACATATATTACGTTGGAGACATGGGTAACAACATGGAAGGGGCAGTCATGAAGACGACCGACTTGCTGCCAACACCCAATTGGAAATCTGCACCATGCCCTTGGCCACTCCCCACCGACTTCGCACCCATCCCTTCTTCCTTCTGCTACCCGCCTTCCTCTCTGTACGCCCCCGTTCTTCTGTGTCCCTGCCCTCTTAGGATCCCTCCCTTTCCTTCCCTCCTCTCCACCAAATGTCCACCCCTCCGTCTGCAAACTTCTGTGCACTATGCCTCTGAAACGGCTCCCATATACAACTTTCGGAGAACGTTCAAGCCGTCGCCATCTCCCTTCTGCTATTTCCGTCTCTCATATCATTGCGACGATGTCACCCTTCGGGACCTCAAACAACAATCGACAACCATGCAAGGGAATATCACGGGGATCATGGCCAAGACTGAGCGCGAAAATGCCGTGTCGATCTTGGTCACCGTCCATCTTGGTAAATTCGTAGATCATTCTCGCGAATCGACGACGATCGGCGTCGACAAGGTTCCGCGGCATCTTGGTCATGGTCAGTGTGTGTTTGTCACCTCGGAGCCATTATACCTTTGAACTCTGGTCCTAACGCAAGCAAGACATGAGTAAAAGTGCGGAACCTGCGTGGCGTCGCGCCGTCGAGGGCGGCGGGGGCAGAAACGGCGCGGGCGCAGCGCACACCTCGAGGAGACTGCTGGGAGAGACCGCACGCGCGAGACTCCGAGAACCCAAAGACTCTGGTTCCTGCTTCCGCTCGTGCTCTTGCCTCTGGTCCTGGTCTTGCTCCCCGTGCTCCTGCTACCGACCCTGCTCCTGCTCCCGCTCCGCCAGCTGGTGTTGCTGCTGGGGAGACAGCTGCTTGGTATTACTAGTGAGTGCCAACGCGCGTGCATATTCCATCGGTTGGCGCGCAATAAGTGCTTGTCGAAGACACGTCTTCGGCGACTGGAATGAAGCTTAAACCGTCGCCCCCTCTCACAAGGCTGGGCCCGAACACAACAGAAATGTAAGGTCGGAGGTTGGAGGGTGAGATCGCAGTGGAACGGAGAGCCCCCCACTGGGAAATGAGTTTCGCTTTCGTGTTCGTGTCGTGCGTGCGGGCGAGGCGAAGCTGCGTGGCCGCGCGGGAAGAATGACCCCACCGTCGCTTGGGCGATTCGGATGCAATGGACCGCCACTCCGCCCCCGGTGGGCGCGCGGTGGCCCAAAGTGTCCCGCCGTAGTGTCATGTGGTGTCCCGTTGGTGTCCCGTCGGTGTTCCGTCGGCGGTGGGAGGGCGGTGGGAGAGCAAGCGGTGTACTGTGACGCTGCCTCGCATACGTCCGAATCCGGCCTGCAAGGTAAAGCGAAGCCTGCACAGTCGTTGGCATGGCGGCATCTCGCTGGCAGCGGCGGCATCCTTCCAACGCCCATGCAGGACCCGCGGCGGGGGGAGAACGCCGCGGGCGCTTGCCGGGCGGCGCGCGGGCCTCGGGGAGAAGTTTAGCTGCGGGCGCCCCTGGCGGGGGGCAGGTGGTCCGAGGTGGACTGGACGAGCTCGAGTGCTCGCGCGAGCTGCGTCAGACCGGTGGCGTCGGCAGGATGGGCCCTGTGGGGGAATGGCGCTGCCCGAGGCAGGTCTTTCCCCCTGCGAGGGGCGGCCTGATGAAGACTCGTGCTGCTTCTGGTGATAGTCGCACTGCTGGACGGTGCACGGCGGAAATATACGTCGTGCAAAGTGTGCGTGGCCGACTCGCCGAACAGAGGTGCGAAAAGCCAGGAGGCACTGCACTGGAAAGGAGAAGCAAGCAGAAACCACCGGGGCGGAAGAGTAATCGCCTCGGCAGAAGCAGCGAGATGATGACGAAGTATGTTTAGGATCTGCGTGGGACCCCACTGTGCTGGCCTGGCCCCCCAGCAACCCGCAAACACGAAACCCATTTCATACTTCGCGGCCCACCCAGGGATGGCGAGGTCTGCGTGGGATCAGCGTGGGCAGCCCTCGAAAGTGGCGACAATTTCGCACTTCGCAGCGCCCCAGGGATGGCAAGGTCCCGTTTGGGTTTGCGTGGGACCCCACTGCGCTGGCTCCCCTAGCAGCCCTCGCAAGTAGAGACAGTTTCACACGTCACAGCGCCCCAGAGATGGCGAGGTCCTGTTTGGGTTGGGTCTGCGTGGGACCCCACTGTGCTGGCTCCCCCAGCAGCCCTCGAAAATGGCGACAATTTCACACTTCGCAGCCCCGCAAGGATGGCGAGGTCCCGTTTGGGTCTGCGTGGGGCCCCACTGTGCTGGCTCCCCCAGCAGCCCTCGAAAGTGGCCACAATTTCACACTTCGCAGCGCCCCAAGGATGGCGAGGTCCCGTTTGGGTCTGCGTGGGACCCCACTGTGCTGGCTCCCCCAACAACCCTCGAAAGGGGCGACAATCCACACTTCGCAGCCCCCCAAGGACGGCGAGGTCCCGCTTGGATTTGCGTGGGACCTCACTGCACTGGTTCCCACCGCAGCCCTCGAAAATGGCGACAATTTCACACTTCGCAGCCCCCAAGGATGGCGAGGTCCCGTTTGGGTCTGCGTGGGACCCAACTGTGCTGGCCACCCCAGCAATGCTCGTCCCGTCTGGGTCTGCAGGGACCCCAGTGTGCTGGCTCCCCCACAGCAGCCCTCGAAAGTGACAGAGCTGGAGCACCCAGCAGACAGGTGCAGACAGGCGCAGGCAAGCGAGAGGGGGACAGATGGCGGGAGGATTAGGAGAAGGAAAAGGGAGACTGCGATCCCACTGCTGCATTCGAAACGAGAACCCAACCAAGGGAGGGTTGGGAAAAAACAAGATGGTAACATGACAGCAAGTAAGGCTCCAATCACAGGGGACAAGTCGTTTGCCGAGGAGGATCAGTCTCGTTCCTGGATCAAGCGCCCAGGACTCGACGAATGCCGGGCTTGAGCGACACAGGAAAACGCAGGAGAGTGCACCAACTGGACAGCTATTTACAACGGATGTTTTTTTGCGCGTCTTCAACGGCCTTCGCTGCTGCTGCCCCGGTGTCCTGTCGTGGATCGTGGGTCGACGCCGTTGGGTTTCAAGCCTGAACACAATTGTGACTGTGAACAGAAGGGTGACAGGTGACTGCCCTCCGTACCCATCGCTCGGAAGAAGTGGGTGGAAACATGAAGTAGACAGCTGGTGGAAGCATACTGGATCTCCACCCGCCCCCTGAGAGGAGAGGAAAAGGGAACACGATTCGACATTTGAAGTAGGAACACGCCCAAATTATTTCGGGATATGGGAATCCAAGGAGTGCCTACTTTCGACGATCGATGGATACTGGCACACGACCTCACCTTGAACATTCAACGCTGACCCAATATACAAATGTGTCTCGATAAGACGCTTGACTTGTGCCAGCGCCAAGTGATACAGACAGCATGACGAATGTTTGACGGGGTCAGTGATGCCTTAGTCAACAAACTGCCTGCTGCATAACTGAGCTGTAGCTGCTACTGCTACTTCTTCTGAGGCGGACTCTGCGACCACGCCGCCTCGACAGGCGCCAGGTCACCGGCACCAGTCCAGTCGAGGCCCATGCTGAGTACAATGCCAGGCCAGGCCCTGGCGCGTGCTCCTGGCCAGGCATAATGAATCGATCGACTCGGCGAGGTGGCCACCAGCCAGGGGCTATATTTGACATGCCGAGCGCGTGTGTGCTTAATCCCGTACCGCGCTTGCAGCGCGTTTCTCTGCGCGTCCAGTACTTCAGATTCCATGCCATTGCATATCAGTCGTTGTGCTGTCTCATCCCATCATGCACAACAAGCCCTCGTCACACAGAAGTGTTTGGCGGGAGGGATCAAGAAACCCCTGGCCAAGAGGGCCAATGCCCCCAGGATTGCCCCCAGGATTGGGCCCGCCCAAAGCGCTGTCACAAAATCCATAACCTTGCAAATTATGTATCTCGGAGCAGAGCGAATTGAGGCAACGGCAACTCCAGATCGGTCCCCGCATCAATTATCCGAACTGCTTCCAACCGTGGCGACGAAGGGGCATTCCAAAGGCCAGCTACCTTAGGAGGCATTTCACGAGAAGTCTTCGTTAGGACAATCAAAGGCTATTCATGAAGCCCGTTTTAAGGGGCCACTGAGCCAATTTAGGCTGGATTAAGCCCCAGACGAAACCGAATTGAGGGGGACTGCGCAGGAGCAAGCGGGACTCAAGTCAGATTTAAGCCAGGTTCGGCCAATCTTCGACCAATGCCACTCCAGAGCCGGTTCTAAATTTAACCGTCCAGGAGCTGCATCCTAAATTGCCGTTGCCTCAACTCGCCCTCCTCTGGTTATCCTCTGCCGATGCCCTCCACATATGAAGATCAGAAGGGGGACACCTTACGACGTCCCCTTCCAGTGGGGCAACCCGTCCACCTTCAACGACACCCCCCCAATCCCCACGCCTCGGTCGCTCACGTTACGAAATGCATCCATCAGACCGTACTGTCCAACATCAAGTACACCCCCTCCCCACACCTACTCCTTCTCTTTGAGCAGTGACCTACGGGGGTGGACAAATCGGCGGGTGGGCGGGTGGGTGGGTCGGGTGGTAGAGGGGAGGGCGAACCCATCAAAATGAAGAGGGCCAAGACCCTGGATCATGTATACCGTAAAGCTTACACAACTGTCTTTGAACATGACTCTTCTATCTTTACTCCGTTTCCAGCTCCTGCTCTTCGAGCAACGGAATGGCCAAACATGAACACAGAAGGCTGGAAGAAAAACGGCGCAATCGCGGAATGGACACAGGGCAAACACGGAAATTGAAAACGACCAATACTGGATGGGGCAAAAATTCGGCTCCAAGGGGATCTCGGGGGACGGGAAGTCGCGAGCTGGCTACGTAATGGAATCGCACTAGGAACAAGAACGCACAGCGTGGGAAGGCAAGGAAAAAGGCACGGTTCGCTGAACACTGAAAAAACAAATTCCATTAGAAAAAAAAACAAACCTTAACAAAATAATGACATTGATTTTCCTCGTTAACGGAAAAGGCACGGCATTGAAACACACAACAAAACGCATGTGAAAAACGCCCTGATCGTTTCCAAGCAAAGGTATGCCAAGACATGTATCACTGCTGCGTGGGCCACGTCGGGATTGACGCAGCCGCAGGCCATTACACCCAGCGAAATGGTTAAGAAATCATGGGTTAAGAAATTCATGGTCTCGCGCCGGCGGGTTTCGTAAATCTCATTAGGAAATGTCCAGGGTCCGGCCCAAGGGCTCGGTATGCGCATGAATACATGCGACCGTGCACGATTGCACGACGTGCTGCGTATGATAATGTAATGTGCACGGAGGCTGCGTTGACAAATATGGTGCGCGCATCTCATTCAAATCCAAGTGGGGCCCGAGCCCAACCCAAGTGGGGCCCGAGCCCAACCCAAGTGTACCCGGACCAACCTTTCGGCCTCAGTTTTCCCCCAGGAATTCCTGGGAACGCCAATATGAATTCAAGAGGACCCACAGAAGCCCCAACGAAGCCCCCCAATGAGCACCTTGGAGGCCGAAGGCTACATGAACTCGTTTACTTCTTGTGGTCCAGAATGGCGCCCGATCAGCACTCCAGACACCTCCCAGGCCGCCCTAGCTGGATTCAACCAGAGCCCCCCAAGGAAGCTCCCGCGACGACCTAAGGGCAGCCAGATCCTCCACGGGTCAATGACTCCAGACAGGACAAGCCCCATGAAAAAATGCAACACCAATGCAAGTCCACAGCAGCGCCACGCAGCAGCATTGCAGCGCAGCGTCCCAAACCATGGTGGCGGATATGCGCAGCAGCACAACATGATTAGACGAGGGCGACAAGGCAATTGTGAACCCAGGACGCCCCAGACACCGCCCCAAAGAGCTGCTGGGCTCGACTGGGAGCTTCCAGATCACCAGCCCACATTACCTGCAAGTGCAAGTGAATTCGATGCACTGGGGACAACAAAGAACCTGGAACCGGCGGCGCTAGACTGGCGTGTCAGGGGGTTCGACCAGGACAGTTCGCCTTACTGCTCGCGCTGACTGCGTCAAGACCGAGTCACTGGCTGGAGCCAGTGGCTTTAGCCGCACCGCCACTAAGTTGGGCCACTCCGCCAATGGCATTGGCCAAATTGCCCATGCGGCTTGCAGCGTTGCCTGTGCCATTGTCAGCACCACCAGATATTAGATTGCGCCACTGCCATCGCCATTCGGTCCCGCCAATGACATTGACAGCGCTGCCAGTATCGTTAACGACGATGCCCGTGCCGCTGAGCTCGGCGCCTGCGGCCTTGACCTCGCTACCCGTGGCGTTGGCCTCGCTGCCACTGGCCTCGCTGTCCGTCTGCCACTGGCCTGGCTGCCACTGGCCTCGCTGCCAGTGGCCTCGCTGCCACATGGTCCTCACCTTGCTGCCCATGCTGCTGGCCTCGCTTCCACTGACCTCACCGCCAGCGGCGTTGGCCAAGCTGTCTGTGGAACTGACCACGCTGACCGTGGCGTTGGCCTCGCTGCCAATGATGTTTGTCTTGGTGTCCGTGTCGCTGGACTCGCTTCCACTGGCATCGCTACCCGTGGCGTCGGCCTCAGGGCTCGCGTTGGCCTCGCTGCCAGTGGCATTGGCGGGGCTGGGCGTCGGGCTGGGCGTGGGACTCGGCGTCGGGCTGAGCGTCGGGCTGGCTGTCGGGCTGGGCGTCGGGCTGGACGACGGGCGAGGCGTCGGGCTAGGCGTGGGGCTGGGCGTCGGGCTAGGCGTGGGGCTGGGCGTCGGGCTGGGTGACGGGCCGGGCGTGGAGTTGCGCATGTTGCCTGCGGCATCGGCCTCGCTGCTACTGGCCTTGCTGTTCACGCTGCTGACCTGACCACCACTGGCCTCGCTGCCAGTGGCGTTGGCCTCACCGTCCGCGGCATTGGCCAGGCTGTGTGTAGAGCTGACCACGCTGACCGTGGCGGTGGCCTCGCTGCCAATGGTATTTGTCTCGGTGCCCGTGTCGCTGGACTCGCTTCCACTGGCATCGCTATCCGTTGCATCAGCCTCAGGGCTCGCGGTGGCCTCGCTGCCCCTGGCATTTGCCGAGCTGGCGTTGGGCACGCTGTCTGCGGCGTCGGCCTCGCTGCCACTGGCGTTGGCCAAGTTGTCTGTAGCGTTGACCATGCTTCCCGTTGCGATGGCCTCGCTGCCACTGGCCTCGCTGACAGTTGCGCTGGCCAAGCTGTTTGAGGCGTCCAGGTCCTCGTAGACGAGCTCCATCGCAACCACCGTCTGCAAGAGCTTGTTGAGGCTATCGTGCAGGCCAGATACCCTGCCGACCAAACTCAATATCTCAGGAGAGGCACTCAGATCGATCAGCCTCGCAGGCTGGACGCCCTGCTCACCCGCGCGCCTTGGCTCCCAACCCGCCGCGCGCGCCGCGCCCTCGGGCAAGGCGCCGCCGGACCCCCCCTGCGTGCCCGCCGCCGAGGGCCGCACGGCGCTGGCCGCGAGCCCGGAGGACCGGTCGAGGCCGAGGCCCGGGCGCAGGAAGGGGTCGCGGCCGCGGGTCCCCCAGCCGGCCAGCGAGGCCGCGACCACCGCGCCCGCCACGAGCAGCGCCCTGGCCGCTGACGGCCCGGCGCGCCCGCCCGCGGGGCGCGGCGCGGCCGCCACCGCGCTGGGCAGGACACCCTCCTCGCGCGACTGCGCCAGCAGGGGCAGCTCCTCGTCGGCGGCGCCCGCAGCGCCGGGCTGCGCCGCGGCCTGGGCGCGCGGGCGGCAAGGCATGGGGGCCGCGCGGCCGGCAGCCCGCCGCGGCAGGTGGCATCGCGTTCGGCGCAAGCGCCTGTGGCCTGCCTCCCCGCGCGTCCTGCCTCCTCGCGTTGCTGCTCGTGCGCCCGCTCCTTCTTCCTGCTGCGCCTTCCTCCTGCCTGTGCCCTATACTCCTCCGCTGCTGCTGCTCTTCCACCCCCGTCCCCTTTCTCCTCCTCCTCCTCCTCCTCCTCCTCCTCCTCCTCCTCCTCCTCCTCCTCCCCCTCCTCCCCTTCCTCCTCTCCTCCTCCTCCTCCTCCTCCTCCCCCTCCTCCCCCTCCTCTCCTCCTCCTCCTCCTTCTCCTCCTCCTCCTCCAATTCTTTTCCTCACCCGCCTCTTGGTCCGCACCTGCCCCCGGCACCGGGGGCGACCCCAGCAAGACCATCCTCACAATAAACTGAGGATGTAGTTTACGGCGGTGGTCTGACAGAAAGAAAACTGTCGCGTGAGACATATTTAGAAAAATGATATGTCGGATATCGGCCGTCGGATCTCCAACATGGTATGGGGAAAAGTTTCGCCTGAGAAATCCTCACGAAATGGGGACGAGGGAGGAAATGTCTTCTGACGTTGATGCCAAAATTGAAGCTTCCGCCTGAGACATCCTCAGACAAATGAAATGTTGGAGATCGGGCGTCGGATATCCAACATGGTGTGGAAAAACGTTCCGTCTGAGACATCTTCACAAAATGGCGTTGACGGACGAGTTGCTTAAGACGTTGTTTCCCACACACGAGAAACAAATCTTCGCCTGAGACATCGTCAAAGAAAAGAGATGTTGAAGATCGGGCGCCGGATATCCAACATAGAGTGCGGAAGCGTTTCGCCTGAGACATCCTGATAAAGAGGGGATGTTGGAGGAATGATGTTACGACGTTTGCTCTCAGTAACAAGGCTTTCGCCTGACACATCATCTGAACAATGACATGTTGGAGCTTGGGCGTTGTTTTATTTATCCTCAGGTTATCGTCAGAACAATAACTCCTGCACGTAGCCGGCGCGCGACGGAAGGGCCCGAGGGGGCCGAAAGATTGGGGAAGTCAGTTTACGACGTTGATGCTCGCTCCAAGATCAAGCTTTCGACTGAAACATGCTCGAAAAATAAGAGGTTGGAGATCGGGTGTCGGATATTCAACATGGTTTGGAGACGCGTTTCGCCTGAGACATCCTCACAAAATGGAGATGTTGGAAGAGCTGTGTTACGACGTTGGTTCACAAAAAAAAGCATTCGCCTGAGGCATCCTCAGAGATCATAAATGTTAGAGATGGGGCGTCGAATATCCAACATGGTGTGGGGAAGCGTTAGGCCTGAGACATCCTCACACAATGGCATTGTTGGAGGAGTTGCGTTTCGTCGTTGGTTCTCAGAAGGAAGCTTTCGCCTGAGACATCCTCAGAGAAATAATATACTAGAGGTCGGGCGTCAGATATCAAACATGGCGCGCGCGGGGAAGCGTTTCGCTTGAGACATGCTCACAACATGGGGATGTTGGAGAAGTTATTTTACGACGCTGGTGCTCCAAATTGAAGGCTTCGACTGAAACATTCTCGGGAAATTAGATGTTGGAGATCAGGCGTCGGATATCCAACATGGTGTGTAGAAGCGTTTCGCCTCAGACATCCTCACAACATGTGGATGTTTGGGGAGTGGTTTTACGACGTTGGTTCCCCAAAAGACAACTGTCGCCTGAGACATCCTATGAAAAGTTGGAGATCGCGCGCCGGACGAGGTTAAAGGAATCTTCTTACGATGTTGATTCTGAGAATGTAGTTTTCGCCTCAGTAATCCTCAGAACATGTAATATTGGAGATCGGGCGTCGGATATCCTACATGGTTTAGGGAAGCATTTCCCCTGAGGCATCCTCACAACATGGCGATACGGCGCTTTTCTTCAAGAAGAGAGGCTTTCGCTTGAGGCATCCTCAAACATTGAGCTGTCGAGCTCGGGCGTTGGGTTGCGAATTTGGTTTGGCGGGGCGTTTCGCTGCAGACATCCGTAGAAACAGAAACATAACATGTTCACTTAGCTACCGAAGCCGACGTGCCTTCAAGAGCTGGGCTCAGACATCCTCACAAATGCAGGCGTCTCCAAAGAAGTCTGACAACTTTGTTTGTCATGCGCGGCCCTTCGAGAGGTAACGCTTTTGTCAGGCGGAGGCTTAAACCAAGAGCCCCTCATACGCCACCATGCGGCTCCTGACCCAGGAGAAAACTCTAACGAGAAGAGAGCCGCATCAGGAAAGAAGTCTGACAACTGATTTGTTGACTTGAATTCCTTATTGGGCTCGCGGGCCCCTCAAATTGTCAACATCTTGACGCGCAAGCCTCGCAACGCGGCGTCCGCCTATTATGAGCCACTGCGCGGGGCAATGAGGAGGCCACGCGCCCTCCGCAATTACCCGCACATGCCAGACACTCTCACGAATATGCTTTCATCCAGGGAGCCACGGTCCATCCGAAAATGCTCGCACCTAGCCGTTCATCCGCAAGAAACCGATTCGTATCGGCCACGGCCCCGTCGATGATTCCCCTGAACATGGGCTGGCATCCCTCGGATCGCGCCGGCTGGCGATCGGAGCCCGGTTCCGAGGGCGTCCCAAGCGCAACAGGCCAGACCGCTTCGTACGTGGCATCTCCGCTAAGGGATGAAGCGGGGACTAAGGGACGAGAGCGAGGCAGTGGAATCAGGAGGAGGCCGATGACGGGGGGATGGGCGCGAGGAGGATGAGGATTGAGCAGGGGGAAGAAGCTGAAGAATCAGGAGGGTGTGGAATGAGGAGGCCGCGCAAACAAACAATTTGTCCCATCAGATTGTTCCCGCTTCCCCCGCCCGTTGCCAGGCCCAAACGGTCGGAGAGACAGTCGGAGGCAGACTGGGCCAGGTCACGTCGCAACGGAACCCAAAGCGCCTCGGCCAGGCAACGGACATCCCCGCGGGGATCCGAACAACCCGCCTGGACCCGCCAGCGCCTGGACAAGCCTCCCCCACGGTTGCCCCCATGAAACGCGGTCCTCATCAACTGAAGAGCGCGGTAGGAACACGCGATAATGAGAAAGAAAAGCTACGCACCAAGGACAAACCACGAATTGCTTTTTGGTCTGCAGAATGCGTCAGATGACAACCTCGAAAACGGCAAGCACGACTATTCCGGTTGGACTTCCGCGCAAATGCTGGAAGCCTTGGCAAAACCATAGTTTTGCGCGAATGTAACGCATTGCGCCGTACACAAAAAAAACAAAGAACCGCTGCTCGCGCGCTGGTGACGCCCTTGTCGCCGCTGTTCCTGCAAATCGCGGGGGGCGCAGCGACGTGGGCGACGCCTGCGCGCGGACGGCAAGTTGTCCGGCCCACGGGAACATAATATTCCGCATGGGCCCGATGGAGTGCGCAAGCCGCAAGGGGCGCGCGATCCAGATGGCCCATATCACCGCCATGGGCTGCGCGAGACTCGGGGGCCGCAGGGCCCTGCTGGAATCCAACCCCCGTTGCAAATCGGCCCCGCGCCGACTGGCCGAGCAGCCCGGGGGGCGCAGGGCCGACCAGACCAACCAACCAACCAACCAACCATATCCCCACGCGCGCAGATCTTTTCTGGGCACGTCCCGCTGCGAGCGTTTGAATTGTTTGAGCGGGAGCGAAGAAGCCTGTTGCGACTGAGCGTTCTCTAGCGGCCCCCCTTCGAAGTACCCTGTTGACGCGCTTGCTACACCGCGATAATCATAGGAGTCCAAAACAAAAAAGGCCATGGGTGCCATGCCCCCCCCACAAGCAAGCTGGGAACGGGCAGGTGTATTGAGTGCCCCACTGATGCGTATTGTGTGTAAGCGTTAGTGGAATGAGCGCGTTCAGCCTCGATGCCAATGGGCCCGAGTGCGGGCGGGCCCGAATGCGAATGAAACTGGGCGCGGTTGTGTCCGAGCATGGGTCGTGAATCGGAGTGCGCGTGAGTCTGGATATCAATGGGGCTGAATGAAGGCGGTCTGGACACGGGCAGAACGAATCTGAGCAACTCGGAACATGAATGAGCAGTGCGCGGGCGCTTTGCGCGCATGAGCCCGAACATGCCCATGCTCAGTCCGCGTCGCAGTGAATGCGAATGAGGGGGGGGGGGGGGGAAAGCTGCATCTGGGCGCGAGCGGGTCATCGCCCCCCATTGGAAATTCGTCGCTGAGGCGTCTGGCTGCAACGCCTGCCATGCACGGCGATCAGCCCCCCCCCCCCCCCCCCCCGCAAGAGGCTACCCCACTCCGCAAAACGAGCAAGCCGCCCCGCGTACCCCTGCGACATTCGCGCGAGGGGCAAACATCATACATCCCAACAGTTTGCCCTCGGGGTGATTTGGCGGAGCGCCTGCCAGATCGCGGCGGCCACGCGCTAATTCATATGTTTTGTTATCATGAAACAATCGTGTCCCAAGAAGCGCGCGCCGATTGAGCAGCCCGCTGCAATGCGGGCGCGAGAAGGCGCGGCCCCTTTTGGAGCGACCACACGCCACGCTTGCCATGTCGCTGCGACCACGAGGCTCACAAGCGAAAATATTCTGCCCCGGGGCGCCCAAATGGCGCCCTTGCTGCGCCGCGCCGGCCATGCGTCTTTCAACTAAACTGATAGGTTTTGCCAGGCTAAGGAGATCGCCAATGGGCACGTGTCCGAGCCCCTGGCGATTGCACCTCGGGGCGCCCAAGTGCCGCGCAGTTGTTGCGCGTCTGTCAAAAACATGAAAAGAGGTTCCACCAATCCCAGGCGCCTTCTCGGGGCGCCGCGCTGCTGCGCCTGCTGCATCTCGGCGGGCCCGAGGCCGCGCATGAGTGCGCCGAGGCGCGCTCGGTCTCAAATGGGGTTGATTGTCGGGGCGAGCGAGCCTGGGTGACTCCGCGCGAATATGGCGCGAGTGAGTCTACGTTGGGCGCGAGCGGGGTTGAACGTCAGCGGGCGCGCGCGCGCGGGTCTGACTGTCAGCGCGCCAGGGCGTCGGCGGACCTGTCGCGCGCGCGACGCGCGCGCGCGAGGGCGTCGGGGGGCGAGGGGGCGGGATGCGGATGCGATGAATGAATAATTGGTCACGCGAATCATGCCGCGGGGAAAGGGGCGCGCGCCCCGCAACGCCGCGCGC